CTCCCGCAGCGGACAGTCCTATGCAGTAATTTTTAGATTAATTCCAGCGCTTGTATTACACCTGGCATTACATACCTGATGCTGCGGGCGGTGCCCTCTCATCGTCGACCATCACGAGTGGTCCGGCACTCCAGGACCAGACACACGGTATGCCCGACAACTCCACTGATGGCAATGTCATGAACTGATCCACAATTATGACGTCCGGCCGAATGGCGGGCAACAGGCGCTCGAGCTGTTCGTCTAAATACTGTATGTATTTCATCTTCAACTCAATAGTAGTGCCCCGACTCCGGGCTTTCTGAAGGGCCGATTCGCCTCCAATCTTGCCCGAAGTGACCATATGTTTGGCCACTTCGGCCATATTGTCCGCATCCATTGGTGAGTCGGATTTGTCGAGCAATACTTCTTTGACGCCATATTTGGTCAGTTTTCCCGACCAAAAGCCGTTGACCGTAAACCACACGTCGTGTCCTCTGTCTATCAACGTCTCGGCAATACTGATACAGGCATTGACGTGACCGACACCGGAGATCGGCACAAATAATACCTTCAGCTTTTTATTCACCATATTTTATATATTATAAAAGTTTAATTTACAGTATAATTAAGACACTATTTAATTTTACAAAATCTTTTGTAAAGTTTTTATTATAAATCGATTCTACATATCACTGCTATTTATATAATAATTGCAAAATAAAATCAATTATTCATGATATAAATGCATTTAAGATTTGATCACAAGTTTTCATTCATAATTTGCAAGAATTTAAAATTTTATACTAAATGTTAGGCAAACCCCGTATCACAATAGCACACAAATCTTGATAAGTTAATTCATTAAAACAAAACCACTGGTTATACACGTGTGGCTCACATACAGGCATTTTAGATACTTATTAAGAATAATCAGCTTGATCACAGTTATCAAATCATTTTTCACTAGAATGTAAAGTGATATTTATAGAAATAGTACGATAATTTGACAATTATAGATTGTATTACCACTAGCGATTTTATTGATTTAATTCATTCACCAGGTTCATAGTTCATTCTAGTTTAAATTTTGTAACATTTTTGGTACATTAAATGTGCACATGTATTGTAATCTAATCTGCATTGTACTGTATTAAACTGCGATTTACCATTATCTAACTTTGACACACCTTCAGTACTGTTATAAATAAAAATAAATGTTGTGGATCAGTACAAAGTGATGTTTATTATTTGGAAAGATAGTTATTATCAGGTTGTGATATAAAAATAAAATGCAATAAAATTATCATTATTAAAATTTCAATACAAGTAGGTAACAATTGAGTATGGTTTGTTTATTTTGTAACTTTCTGTACTGAATTGTTTAATCTATGATTATGTTTAACTTATGTTTCTTATAATTAGTATTTTTCATTTAAATTATTTTAAATATTATTTATACTTAAAATGCAAATATTTTAATACCTAATGTTAGAATAATAACCAAAAAATAATGTCTGAATTTTACTATTAATATTACCAATAATTATATGCAGCGGATTCCAAAGTGCCAGTTTGAGGCAAATTTTAAAAAAATTAGTGCACATTATTCATACACTATTCACAGTCTATTTATATATAATGAGTGATATTAGTGAGTAATATTTAAAAATTGCCAAGTTCATACAATAACCACGTTCAAATAAAAATTGTCCCCTTTTATTTTGGAATGGCCTGATTATATGTATATATAATAATATAAACACAATAAAAAGACTATAAAAGTAACTTAATATTTATTTTTATGGATTACATCATTAAAACGTTACACAAAAATATGTAATAATTTTTAATGAAATATCGATATAAATGAAATCATGTAATCATTCAATTGAAACACAAAATAACATTAAATTTAAAACATTGATAAAAATAAATATCAAACAAAACATTGAAAATCAATATTCAAAACACAGACAAATTTCTGTATAATTCTATCGAGAATTTGTTTATTAAACGTTTGACTTTTGCATAACATGTGTATATAATTAACGGAATCGACTGTTATGTATGTCTAGCAATAAAATAATAAATGATTATTAAAATAAATTTGTTGTAAGTGCTTGCAGAATATTTATACAACAAAATTTCTCTCTCTCTCTCTCCTCATTGAACCCTATGTTAAATATAGTAATGCTTAAGTATATCGAGAATAGAAATGGTTAGAGAGTGGAAAAGATTTGGTGAGAAAATTAATTACATGAACAGAATTTAGTTGGAAAGTTGCCTACAATTTGGGTGTTGGTTCACATCCACTGAACACTACCAGTGCTCAGTTTGTTGTTATCATTACTGCCCTGTGCTATACTTAAGTAATATAGTTGTTATAAAGATTTATTTAATTCGTATAATTATAATTTTGTAATATTTTTTTATTTGTTAAATATATTTTTGTTTTGTTTTGCTATTCATTCAGACATTTCCTGCAAAAGGTATGCGAAATTCATTTGTGTTTTGTATTGAAATTCTCTGTTTATATATTAGTAATCATTAAATTGTTTTATATTTGTAAAAATATCATTAATTTTGTTTTCTATTCAAATTAATAATAAATTGTTATTCAATATAAATATATGAATAATAATATTATATGGATAACTTTCGTCATAATTTCATTTATCTGATTGTGATTTTAGGGGAATTTTTGTGATGTTTTAATTTAAAGCAATATTTTTTTAATTAACTGATAATCCATTAAAAAATTGTACAAAAATTATCACATAATTTAAAATTCAAGCAAAAACTAATCAAACACTTTGATTATCAAACCGATAATAAATTCACAAATTAATAGTTAAATGAAATCTCTGCTAAGAATCTCACAAAAATACATTAAAATATAAGTCATTGAGAATTAATAATAAAAAATATTTAAATATATCGTTAAAATACACCAAAAAACATTGAAAATACAAAACTTATTTGTGTCACAAGTGTTTCACAAACTATGCCATAGAAAAACATTGAAAGTGTTTTATTATTATTATTATTTATATGGGTTTGTATTGTATTCAATGGCAGTTACATTACAAGTGAATTGAATTACAGGTGAATTGAAAACCTGTTTCTAGTGTTTAGTTGTGTTTTGTTGGTCTGTAGTCTCAGTCTCTCCCTGTTATACAATACCAGAAAAATACCAGAAAATTTAATTCCCATAACATGTCATACTATACCCCATACATACCAGCCCTCTCTCTCTCTCTCTCTCTCTCTCTCTCTCTC